TACTTCACACATTTGCAAGGCTTCCAGTGAAAAACACAAAGCTTTGGGTTGAAGAGTTAACCAACAATAGGAAGGAATCACCCTTTAAAGGCAACAGTTGAACAAATTTGCATTTGAATTCCGGCAATGCCTGGTGACCCCCAGCACATTATAGGATTTCTTCACAATTAAAATTCCTAGTAAGAGGAATTACCGTTTCTGTTTGCATAAGAATTATCTTGAGCCTGGCTGTGTTTGGCGCATAGTAGGACTTAAGAAATGTGCCTCTACGATATCAGCTCTATCACAGTTACCTTTCCCCAGGGGGTCCTCACTCCGCAGGATTTATAGACGTGATCTAAGATGTAGCTTATTGATAGCATTGGGAACGTAATTTGAAAGCCAAAAACCAGTTAATTACCTAGGTAATTCTTCCTTTGCCAGGCAACCACATAGGCTATTCGCTCCCAGCAACTTACCTGCCTGCGGTTACTCTGTCCATATTGATCCCCACAAAATGCATGTAAAAATAAATCAATTAATTCAATCGATGTTTTGACTTTGTACATTCAAGAGGAAGCCACCGATTTCTATCTCCAGGAGTTAGTATTCCTGACCATTTTGGTTTGCTCTGAGTTGCTAAACTTGGTGAGGCATTGGAGGCATGCGGGGAGCTTTGTTTCAAACAAGCAGGTAAGCAAGCCAGCAAACCTATGCTTTTTGACTGCACCTCAAAAATCCCTTTTTCATGAGTCTGAGGTGAAGAACTTGTGTTTTTCTTTTCACTTTTCTCTTTGGGGACAGAGTCTCATGAAGCTCCTAGGTAGCCGAGGATGACCCTCAACTTCTGATCCTCCTGTCTCCTCCTCTGGCGTGCTAGAATTACAGGTATGCAGGTGCTCAGAGACCGGCCTGGGGCTTTGTGCATGCTACCCATGTGTAGTTCTCAGCCTGAGGATTTGCTTTTGAGTAAGATCTCCAGGAATCTAAAGTCCACCCAGGGTTGGAAACTACAGGTGTGGACTCCAACGGTTCAGCCATGTCTATGGTGCAATGGTTCTGAACTTCTGAAACTGGGGGAAGATTTAGAAAGTTCATGATGGTAGCTACATAAACAACCTTGCTTGCAACAAGTTTGCTTTCCTTCTGCTTAAAGCATACATTTGTGACTATTCAGAACTGAAAAAATGTCACTGTCCAAATCATGAGGTGCCTCCTGATAGACTCAACTGCATTTGACAAAGGCCATAATCACCTGACATGACCGGAGTGTGGAATCCTTGCAGGCCTCAGAAAAATAATGTTTAAGATTTTAATCTTTCCGTACATCTCAATGTTTTTGTAATGAGTTTTATGCATCTAAAAAATTGGCAGGTCTGGAAATTATAGATTTGTTAACAAATGCATAAGTGGACAGATTTGGCAAGTAACTCTTCATTTTCCCTTAATCTGGACCGGATGGAAAAATTTCTACCAAACTTGGGATGGGAAAGAGCTAATATTACATTTTATAAGCAAGGGTTCTCTTTTACTCCACAATGAGGATTTTCTTATTGAGAATATTATAGAGTCAACATAAAACTGTGATGCTGAATTCAAAGAAGAAAACAACATAGTACAGAAAAATTTGGGAAAAAAAAACATCTTGAAAAAATTTAACACTGTATTGAACTAAGTGCTTTTAGCATTTTGAAAATCAAGGTATTAGGTCTGAGAAAATACATTTTAAAAGTAAGTGTGTGCATATGTGTGTGTGTCTATGCATGTGTCATGGTGCTCAGATGGTCAGAGGAGCTCTACTTCTTGCTTTCCACCGTGTCCAGGCAGGATTCTCCTGATTCTCCTGTGGCCTATTCTAATATTGCTGCCCCTCGAGATTCTACCCAGTTCTCCTTCCCCTACCTCCATCTTGCATAGGAGTGCTGGGATTACAGATGTGCACCACTGTACCAGGCTTTCTGTGTGGGCTTTAGGGCTCAAACTCAAGCCATCAGGCCTGCTTAGCTAGGTTAGAGCCTTTACCTGATCTTGATGTACCATCTCCTGGGCCCAGAAAATAAATAAAAATGAGTTATTAAAATGATTGTGCTGAATGTATCAAGCACAGAATTTAAAAGATCATCCATATCTATAGCATTTTCATACAAATCCAGATAACAAATGCCAGCTACATAAATGACATCATTTAACCTTTGTAACAGTTCTACATGTAAATACTAATGCTAGGACTATTAATCAGAAGAGGCCTGAGAAATCACCACAAAATCAACAGAATGACAAGAATGAATACAAACCTTTCAATAATAACTCTCAATATTGATGGTCTTAATTCTCTAAGAAAAAGACTCAGGTGCAGAGGTTGGATTTTAAATAGATTCCATGTTTTTGCTGCCTCTGGGACACATACCTCACCACCAAAGATGGACACCACTGTCAAATAAAAGGCTAGATAGCAGGATTACAAGCAAAAAGAACTAAGACGTGAACAGGCATTGCTATTCTAATATCGGTGAAATTTTCTTGAAGCCAAAACCGAAGAAGTAAATATTATCATGCAGTCCTTAATAACTGAACATGCTCAGAGGAGATTAAAACCGTAGACACACACTCACGAAGCATGGAGAATACAGTTTCATAAGACAGATATTACCATATGTAACACCACAGATCAATAACAGCACACTGACGGTGGGTGTCTTTAGTACCCTACTGTCACTCATAGCAAGATCAGCCAGACCAAAATAATAGTAAAAAAAGCAGCACTGGAGTCAACTCACATCATGAATCAAACGGACCTAAGAGACGTCGGCAGGGTATTCTACCTCTACCTCAAGAGAGAATTCCCACTCTTCTCAGCAGAACACAAAGCAAGAATGAACAATCACAGGAAAACTGAGCTAAAGGTCCTGTGTTCTACCTGACTGTAATGGCATAGCGCAGAATTAGCTGTGGAGGTCTGCCAGCCGGTGCCAGAACAACATGAACCCTGGGCATCTTGCTGGTGACACAGCTGAGGACAACAGCTCCCCCTTCACAGCACCCACCAACAGCCAGTAAGTCATCAGGGAGGGGTACAGCCCATGGGCCCCTCCTCTATCCATGACTGTTGACAGGCCCAGTCTTATACAGGCCAGTGAGGGCCACCACAGCAGCTGTATGCTCACTCCTGCAATGTTAATGTCATGCCAGAAGACAGTATTTTCAGTGTAAGATGATTATGTCATTCAATGAAAAGCATGTCTTTGTTAATTGTTTTAAGAAACAGATCCATCACTGGCCAGAATAGTTATTTTCAATGCTGTGCCGAGCTGTGGATGAACTTAAACTGAAATGGAAATAAACCATTAATCTGAGAGTAGGGACTGAAAATAAGAGCAGGGGCTGAGGACGCCATGTTGGCGTGCATGCTTGCCGTGTGTAAGGCTGAGATTTCTGTTCTAGCAGCCCAGAAAATTTATGGTCAGGGTATGTGGCTTAGGTGTAGATGGGAGTTTCTTATAGAGCGTGTACAAAGCTCCAAGTTTTAACCAGTAGTACTGAAAATAAAAGTAAAATCAAATATTTTGAAAATGAACTTTAAACCTCTAATCAGTTTTAAAATTTTACATAATCACCTGTACTCTGTGTGAAAAGATAGAGATTTTTTTCAGTTTCTTCCTATCTACCTAGCTATCTGTCTGTCTGTCTATCCATCATCTATCCATGACAAGTCTTTCTCTCTATACTTACTACACATACATACATACATACATACATACATACATACATACATACATACATACATACATATATTTGGCAGGTGTCTTCCTCTACCTTTTTCTACTTTATTTTGAGAGAGTCTTTCTCTGAGCCTTGAGCACACAGATTCAGCTGGAATAGCAAGTTAGCCAGCCTCAGGAATCCTCCTGTCTCGGCCTTCCCCACGCTGGGAATGCAGATGTACGCCATCACACCCAGATGTCTTACACGGGTGTAAGGGTTAGACCTCAGGTCCTCACGCATGCGTGGAACGTACTTTACCCACTGATCTGCTCAGCCTTTCACTTTACTCTCTGTAGTGTCTATTTGGCCAGAGCTCTAGCCAAGGATTATATGTATATCAGGAAGTAATAGTGCATTAAATCATCAAAGGAATCTGGCATTGACTGAATGGCCTAGTGGAGCGGCACAGGGCAGGGAGGCCACATCCAATGGTTAGCGCCATTCACCATGGTAAGCTCCTATTAAAACACGTCATTGTCCTTCCAAGTACCCTGTTGTCCCATGCCATGCAGGAAAAACAAAACACTCTAGGCCAGTGAGCCAACCCAGGATTCCTGCGGAGACAATGCGCTGGGCTACTGTAACCTCTGACTTGCCTTGGATATGCATGAGTGAAAAGACACGGGCTTTAGAATTTTGAAACCTCAAAATACACCTCTTTTCTAGAGAGCCAGGCAGATCTATGTATCTGTATACTTGTATATATAGATATACACTCATGTAAGGATAGATAGATAGATGTGGTAATACATGCTATAGTAGTTTGAATGAAAAGTGTCCCTTAGGCTCAAGTACTTGGATGCTTGGTCCAAGTACTTGAGCCTATAGGGACACCAAGATGGTGTGGTGTTTGGGGAATTTAGGAGCCCTGCTAGAGGAAGAACATCACTGGGGGTGTGCTTTGAGGGTTTATAGTCTTACCCCACTTCCAGTTCACTCTGCTTGGAGTCTGCAACCAAAGATGTGATCTCTCAGCTTCCTGACACGGCTGCCCACTCTCATGTGTCGCCTGACCTAACGGACTCTCCCGGTGGAGCCATATGCCAAAACACATTCTTTTCCAGAAGTTGGTTTTGTTAGCGGCAGCAGCAGAAGCATGACTAGTATGTATATATGTAGGCAATCATGCATGTGTAGACTTACATGTGTGTTTTGATTGCTCCATCCATATTCATCTAGAGGAAGCTATGATTAAGCTATGGGAGAGAGAGAGGGGAGAGAGAGAGGAAGACAGAGGGAGATTCCATTTCTTTCTTTACCTGGTGTTGGCCATGCTACAAATATGGAATCAGAGCCCAGTACGGTGACGTTACATGGGGGACGGATGGCTTCCGGGGTCCACATAGGCATCTGGACAAGGTAATCCTCACTCATACCGCTGCCACCTCTGGTTTTTGCTTCTAACGTGTAAATGTACCTGAGGAAACAAAGCTAGAATCAGTCAACCTTTGAGAGACTGCAGTGATGTTCACTGGCTTCTTGGTGTGCTTTTTTGCCCTACATTTGTGAATTCTTTTCTGGGAGAAATGTGACTGGGAGCTTGGTCACCGTGTCCAGCAAACACAGTGCTTCTTTCTAGAGCATCGCTGCTGCTGCCTCCCAAGTCTCTGCCGAACCCCAGAGTCATTCATGGCTTTTCCTGAGGATTTAGAAATGTCTTGGGGTGCACTACTGGGCTGTGAAAACTCAATCTAATCTTTTTTATTTCTAAATGGGTTGAATTTCAGGGAGATTCATTTAGAGGCAAAGATATTTAAATTGATCTGTTATTTTCCACAATAAAACTAAATTATTCTCTATCTCTGCACTGAAACATCTGTTGATGTAAGGTTTATCTTGTGTCTGCTGAGAAATGAATGGGAATGAATTGCAAATGTGTGTCTAGATGACTTTTGAGACAGAGCATGGCAAGAGGAGGGAGGGGAGATAAGAGAAGAAGTGATAGATGATGGGAACAAGACTTTCCCAAGCTCTTCCATTGCTAATTTAGGAATGTAAGTTTGAAACACCATTTGATCATTGTTGAAGCTGGACATTGTATTTTGTATATTTAAATTTCTCATGCCATCATGTCAAACAGAGGATGAATTAGTTATATGTTAAAAGGATTTCATGTAGACTGAAAACTAACAATGCTTTAGCACTTTTATCCGTTACAGCATGGCTAATGAATAAGGAGATTAATTCAATAATTGAATAACATTTTAGTGGGAAGCATTCTTTCTCAACCCTGAACAGCGAAGAAAGTTAACAGCGTGGTTGGCAAAGTTTCCCTCCATCACCTGCTGTTGGGCTCCAGGTTTTTATCAGTGAAACTCTGTTCATCACTGCCACCCACGAGAAGCAAGCTTCCATTACGCCTCAGCTGATACTGAGAAATGAGGCCGTTGGGCCTTTCTGGAGGATTCCAATATAATTCCACGGTTGTAGAATTGATGATAATGTGTCGAGGTGTCGCCCAAACTCCTGGCAAAAATGACACAACAAGGTTTTATTGTGAGGATAAAATACATGTCTTGTGAAATGGCACAGCTCCCCATTCCCCCAACCCAAGACAGCAAGCCCTGGTCTGTGGATTCAGAAAGCCTCATTGTGGAAGAAATAAAAATACATTTTAAGCATGAATTTGTTTCTCTGCCTGCTTTACTTTGGAATGCCTCTCAACTGGCTGTGTGTGTGTGTGTGTGTGTGTGTTTGTGTGGTGGGGGTGGTTCTGAGGCCTAGGAATTGCTCTGTTAGAATTTAATCAAGGCTGGAAGAAAATCTGGGCATTTGAAACTTTGGGTTTCATGGAAGGAAGAACAATCAGGTATTTAGCAGTATTATATACAGTTCTGTAAGTTAGAATCTCTGCTTCCCCTTTGTACTGTTCATATCATCTTCCCCTGATAATTTCTGGCCTCACTTCTCAGTTTCTCAGATTCCTCATTGTCTCTTAGTACAGTGAATGTCTGTCTTATCCTCCGCATTCTCCTCACTGAAACCCCCACTACATCCTTTCTTCTTTTTGTTCTCCTCCTCCTCCCAAACTCACTTCCTTGATGATCTATGCTGAAGGCCTCCTAAGGCATATTTGATACTTATCATTCCCTAGGCTTCATGCTTACAAATCCAACTGTTTATGTGACACTGCTGTTATGGATAACTACTTGTGTGTCAAAGTTCAAAGCATCAACAGTAGATCTCCTGCTTTTCTTGTCCACAGTCTAACATAGCTCCAAGCTTGGCCACAGATTAATTTTCTTAGGCAAAATACACAAACAGAATTATCTTAAGGCACTCCTTACTCATTCCCCTGTCAGTCATGGGGCCAGGAGCCCTGTGACTGGGGGTAGGGGGAAGTTGGAGCAAAAGTGGAGTCGAGAATGTTCAAACTGCAGAAATCTCACCCTGAGATGGTCAGGGTAGTGCACTCCCTTCCTTCGCCTGGGCCTGTGTCCGCTGGCAGTCAGGTTAAACTTCCTTTTCCTTTATAAAGTAATACCCAGCAGCACATGGAATTCCTCCTTATGCAAATGAGCCATCCTCAGCACCCTGGCCCTGGCCAATGACATGCTTTCTGCTCTCCGAAAGCCTCAACCCACTCTCCAAAGGTTTCAATTACCTTGTTCTCCCCAGTCACAGGAGCCATTTTACTGAAGCTGTTTCTAGTGCACTCATGCCTAGCGAGGTCCTGCCACTAGGATTTGCACTTCTCTTAGATACTTCTGCCTCCAACAGCATAGGTTTTGCATTTTATTTGTTCAGTCCTCGGGATAGATTACCCCATCCACGCAGCTTGCTTGGCATTTGCTGCCTAATTCTAACCTTTCCAAGGAGATTCTGACTCAGTTTCCAGTACACACCCCTTTCTAGTTCCCTCATGACCCTGAAGACATTACAACTATATTTCCTTCATGTATTGCTTATGTTGTTAGGGCTGGATGGTCTTCTCCTGCTTTAAAGCATAATTATTTCCATGGGGGCAGGGATTCTCAGTCTTACTCACTAATCTGTGTCTGCACATAGAACACCAATATTAGGCAGCCTAGATAGTTATAACAAGTACAGAGTTGACCAAGAGAAGACTCGCTATTTCACAGAGTTGATTCTTCAGCATAAAGGGAAATATACATACAGAAATGAACACAACTCAAGGTCTGTGCTTAATTGCTCCTTTAAACCGAACGTTTTTAGATTTATTTACCTTTAGTCTATATGTCTGAGTGTTTATTTACGTGTATGTATATATATCATGCATGCAGTGCCCGAAGAGGGCAGGAGAAGGCACCAGGTTCCCTGGCACAGGAGGTACAGATGAGTGTGAGTTACCATGTAGATGCTGGGAACTGAACTCAGATCCTCTTTCAACAGCAGCAAGTGCTCTTAAACCCTGAGCCGTCTCTCCAGCCCTTTAGGTGCTCTCACAGATGCAGAGAACTGCTGACGGAGAGTCTGACAGTGGAATAGCGAGTGGGCCAGAGGCTGTCATGCTCTGGGTAGACCTCCTCTAAGGAGCTTCTACAAGACTCATTCTATCTGGCTCCCTGCAATCAATGGCTTCTGGTTGAGTGTGTCTCTCATGCAAGTAACTCTGTAAACGGTAAGCTCTTGCCATTTTTAGGAGAAAAAAAAAATGTTTGGGACATTCAAATACAATTTATTCAGCATCATGCTGAAGAAAGGAAACAGTCCAGATAGATTTCAAAGAACCTCAAGGCACCAGCATTCAAAAGAGCCCCTCATTGAGAATTCAGACTCCAGCAGCACGTGAACTTGTTGATTCAAGAGATAAGTTTTCAAGATTTTATGTTCTCCTTTGTAGTTCATCTCTCTGTCCTTGAGCGATATATCAGAAATCCCCAAGGAAGAGCTGAGGAGATGTGCAATGGGTAGGCGCTTGTCACACGTGCGAGGACCAGAGTGTGAATCCCAGCACCCATGTAAAGGCAGCTGGAGTGGCCGACCACAATCTTATTTCTTGGCATTATAGGAGACCCTTAGAGAAAGCTCGCTAGAGGAGCCAAATCTGCAAGCTCGGGTTCAAGTGAGAGGCCAGGCCAGGATCTATAAGGTATAGAGTGATTGGAAAGACATCTGATGTCAACCTCTGGCCTCTACACACATGCACACAATGATGTGTTCACGACTGTGTGTTTGCATACACATGTGTGTACACACAGAGACATATCACGCACATAAACACATACAAAAAATTGCCAAAGAACCAAAAATGTACATGCAATTTCTGGTATGCACGCCTCAGGGCAGCCTGCTCACATGGAGGTTCTAATGAAACAACAAGAAGTCAGAATTTGGAGCTGTTCACGTTTCCAGCAAAAGTCAAGTTCTGCATGCATGGAAGCTTGCATAGCCACATGTCCACAGATTTAATCAGGAAGATGCACTTTCAATGTCCAAAAAGCAACTACTAAGTGCTACATATTTATTTGCAGGGTGAGTCTGGGCTGTTGTTACCTTGACTTTTGGAAGAAATAGTCTATAGAGTTAAGACCTGCCTTAGGCAAACTGTTCTGAATGAGCTCCGGGTATGAATCTGGCCCCTTCTTCCACTCTTCAATTGAAGATTGACACCAGGAAAACAATCCTATTCCCTATAATAGAGGGCAGCTCTGAAGCAATTCAAGGGAGGAATGTACGGAAAGAAGAAATCTGAGTTCCGATGCCAGGATAGTGCTCAGCACGTGGAAGTTCAGGGGTCACAATCAGAAGGTAAGCTGCTTTGACACAATGACTATCAGAAATGAACACTGCTACTAGATTTGTTCTAAAGTGAGCTTGAATTTTGTGTGCTATCACCCACTTCTAAAGTTTCTGCAAATGTCAGTTAACTAAAGGATTCCTAATATTTATTGTGGGTTTGCTTCTTAAAATCTGTTGATGAAAGCCAGTTCCGTATGAGTTTATCATAGCAAGGACCCACAGACTTGTAGAGTATTTAACTACTGGCTAATTTACTCATTCATCCTTCTACGTGACCTGGCATTTGCTTCTGTGTCAGGCCCTGGGAATGAGGTGATAAAGACATCCTTATTCTTCCAGGAGTTCAGTATGTCATGGTGAATGTAGATTTATAAATACGATACTATTATGTAGTATAAATAATCTTTAAAGAGAAGTATGGGCTCTGGAAGAGGACCCAGGATAGAAGACTTGGCATGGACCGTGAGGTGAGATCAGGAGAGCTAGGAAGGAGGTATTCCTAGGGGTATATTGCTTTAAGAGGAGCCATGTGAGCTACATCGAACAGAAATATCTGCTGGAGGACACAGGAGCAGCATGTAGAGTCTGAGTCTTACAGAAATGAGAAAGATATCAAGATAGGACTTCCCATTGCAAAGTATGCGGTCAGGACCACCAAATTAGCAGAGGTAAAACTCGGGGCCTCTGTCTGCTTTACAAAGACAATAAGGATTTGTTTCCTCGGAATGAAATGAGATTTTAGGGAGCTGACTAACACAAGAGATGTCCTTTCTGACATGGGGAAAGAATCAGAGGAAATATGAGAAAACTGAAATCTAGCTATTGAAGACAAACCTACTTAGGATAAGATGGAGAAATTAGAAGGATGTGAACAAAGGCAGGGGAGAAGGGATGGAAAAGAAAACTGAAAATATCATTTTATTTACAATCAGTGAGATTTCTGAAAAATGATGTATCATGTACAAAGAAGATGGAAGATAAGGAACAGCCAGTATCGGACTGAGGTGATGGGCTTTGGTGGTAGCAAAGAGAGGAGAACAGGAGCAAAGGCAAGGCGGGGAAATGGGTGGGGTAGAGAGCAGTGAGCAGTGAAGATGAAGGACTGAAGGCACAGCCGGAGCACAGACCTGTGAGGGAATCCCCAAGAGGGCTTAGCCTTTGTCTTCTCTCAACCTTCGTAAGGGGGTAGGGCTGTTACCAAGATCTAGAGTGATGTGTATGGAGTACAGGAAGAATGCAGAGGGGCACCAGGAAGCCAAAGGCAGGAGTGAGGGATCTGGAATGAGCTCAAGACAGCCTGGGTCTTTTCTTATCTCCAACATTGAGGCTAGGGGAAAGCTTGCGTGATTCCACTCTAAAATGAGCTGGTCTAACTGAGCCAGCAGCTGTTCTAGGAAAATAGGGTAATAAGCCGATCCAGATTGTTCTCGCTACTTGATAAAAGAGCCGCAATTTTCTGAGGACAAGACTGGAGAGACGTGTGCCCAGTTTTTCCCGAGGCCATGCTGTGTATTAAGACTTTATGTTTAGAGGTAAATAAAATGAGAAGAAGCAGGATGGCCGTGAACGCAGGCTCCTTTTAATTTCCTTCCTATGCCCTCTCAAATCTTAGACCTTCAAACTATGTCTGATTTACTGCAAACGTGGCATTTCATAAACTGTACTTGTGTTGGTAATTTAAACGTTTACTTTTAAATCATTTTTAAAAGTATATATACTTTTAAAAAGTATATATACTTTTTTAAAAGTATATATACTTTTAAAAATATATGTATATACATATATACATGTGTGTATTTTGGCGTACATGCATGTGGGTGTGTGTACATCAGTTCAGGTGCCTTTGGAGGCCAGATATGTCAGATCCCCTTGGAGCTGGGGTTACAAATGACTTGAGTACTCTCATGTATGTGCTGGGAACTGAACTCAGGTCCTTTAGAACTAAATGGCCTTAACCACTGAGCCATCTCTTCAGCTCCTGGGTTAGTAAACTAAAAGGATAAATTTATCTCTACTTTGTATTGGTACACCAGTATTCAATGGCATTGATGATTTGTCCCTTTGTGGCTTCAGGCTAAGCATTGGGACTACATTGGTTCCATGCACAGGTTATTCACGAATGTTCATACATACATATATACATGCATGCACACATAACCAGAGAGTGGATCTAAAGCTATGTTGCTATCCAGGAGAAACCCTTATTTCTTTACACAGGTATTTGTGGCAAGGGAATCACTCATCACCTTAAAAAACTGAGGGTGTTTCTTATATCACATTCCCCTGTATCATTTAAAGTTATTTTCAAGTTAAAACCTAGACCCTTTCAAGAAATTGTATAATGGGAAGTGGGGAAATAAATTCATTGAAAAACCCAATAGCTTAAGAATATGGGTTTGGTGAATAAACTAATAGCAGAGACCCCTCATTCTGTCAGGCTTGAGGGTTAGCCAGAACTGGATGATCACCTCTTAGCAATTACCTGTTATCATCAGAGTACCCATTTGATGGTTTCCCTTTCCAAAAAATCCACTGCTGCTCTCTTCCTTTCAAAGGAACACCAAGCTCTCTGACATGAAGCATTCTTTATATAGAGAGCATCATTAGTGAGCTCCTAGAGAGGAGCCATATGCCCCATATGTGGAATTTTCCACTTTATTCCCCATTTACTGGTAGGATTTTAGGCCTAATATTCCAAGGTACAACAGTCCTTTCAGTAGAAAAGTAATGAACAAGAGGTTTGGGACTCTAACATGGCGGCAGACACTGTGGTCCTCTTTAGATAGGTATTTATGTCTGCTTTCAACTCTCCATCTGTGAAACAGGCCAATACTAAAGATTGACACACACTAGGCCACTAGCACAGGCTACTGAGCGTAATTTCTTCCATAAAGGGAATGACTTCACACTCCCAGGTTCCAGGCCACAGGAGCTCAGTGACACCACAGGGCTGATACTTCCAATGGTTTTTTTTTTCTTCTTTTTTTACATGTGTATTTATCTTTAGAAATGAGTGGAGCCTGCTGCATTTTTACACATAAAGTGTGTACTCTCCAGCATCCTTTAGGAACAGATCAGCTTGGCCCCACAATGTGATTTTACTTAGCAGATCACCGTTCCCACAAACTTTAAATCGCATTAAGCAGGATGATGTTTCCGCAGGCATCCTGACACAGGTCCCCGTGTGCACGTGTGGAAGAGTTTCAGGCATAAATAATGAAAACTGAACTGCTGTGTTAAGGAATTAAGATTTTGAGTTTATCAGACATTGCCAATTTGTCTTCTAAACATGGGAGAAGCTCTCTGTACATTCCCTCAAATAGCCTGGTAGTGTACTTCACCCATTGTCTATGTGTGTGCATGTGTATGTGTTTGCAAATCCCTGCCCTTGGGGGCCACTACAGCCTTTCTGTTCCTGCGATAGGTTCTAACCTCTCATTCTCCCTCAGATTATGTTTTTTCATATATACCTGGTGATTATATTATCACTCTTTTTGGTTGTAATTTCTTAAAGGCAGCGGGTATTTTTGTCAGCTTTAGCAGCAGGCTTGGTACTCCTTAGTTAAACAGTTTAATGCTTGGGTTTTCAAGGCATTTCATATCCAAGTTTGTATTTTTTTTTTCTCATAAAAAAGTAATTCTCAATGACAAAGAATTTCAAGTAATGCACTGTGAGTGGCAGCGAATGGCTCCCTCAACCCTGTAGAAAAAGAGCGGACATGGGATATTATTTTAATTTTTCCTGTCAAAATTTTTCCTGCTGCCTTCTTTTGCTACAAAAGAGTTTATAAAGCTAATTAAAATAGCACACACAGACCTTTTCTCCAAACCACAGACATGTCCTCGTTACCTTGAGGGGCGGTCTGCAGGGTCTGACCCACAGAGGGCTCGCTGGAAGTGCATCCGGCAGCTGTGCAGGCCGCAAGTGTGAAGCTGTAGTTTGTGTATGGCTGGAGACCTGGAAGAGCCAAGAGGAAATACAGCACAGCGTGAGGGGGTTATTCGTTAACAATTAAGCACCGGAAGTTACATGCCGAGCTGTGGATGTGCTCTGCAAACATTTAAGACTCTTCTGCAACACACAGTCTTAATGGTACTGGGGCTGGAACACAGCCTCACAGAGGCCAGGCAAGCGCTCCATCAATGACCTTGTTTCTCTGAAGATACAAACTTCCTACAGTTACACTGATCAAGAGTTTCCAAATGCTCAGTTGTGGGGGATACTTTAACATTCCCATATTAATAATAAAGTTCATCCTCCTCAGGTCTCCCCTATGTGACATGGTTGAGCCTGTCCCACTCATTGCATCACAGTACCCATATCCCGAACAGCCCATTCCGTCTTGAAGAGCACCTGGGTTCTCCTTGTTTTGTTTGAAAGTTTTTCCTTACATTGTGGTAAAACATTCCTGTCTCTTCCACCCTTGGGGACCCATAGAACAAGTTTAATTTCCTTTCCACATTATGTGTCCTTTAAATATTTGCAGACAGTTACCAAATCCCCCTGAGTACTCTCCTCTCCACATTAGCCATTCCAGCCCCTGAAACTGCTTCTCATGTGAAGAGGGGCAGGAAAGATCTTGAAGGAAGGTTAGAGGCATCACTCTCTAGCCTCAAGCCGTATTCAGTTCTCGTTAACACCAGCCAACACCTTAAGACAACAAAACACAAGGCAACACAACCCACTGCACTTCTTCACCAGGCGAGCAAACCGCTCTCCTATGCTGGGTGCTTTTGTCTTTGCACACAGGTTGAGGGTGTTTCAATGAGGGCGAAGCACTTATCTACTTCTTCTGCATTTATAAAAGAACACGGCTCAGCAATTCCCGGTAAGGCCTCGAAGGGAACAAAGAAAGACTTGATCTATTTATGACGGAAGTTGTCCATGGTTATATGTCACTGCTCTGTGGCTGACGACCTTGGCCAAGTTACCGAGCTTCCTTTTGCCTCGGTCTACTGATCTGTAAAATGGGGAATCACTATAGCATGTAGCTTATATGAGGAGATGAAATGGGATGGCAGGTAGTATTTTATATCAGCAGGTGCAACGTTAAGGCTCTGCGGCATCCAACAAGAAGTATATTGAGGCTTACAAGGTCTCTTTTTTGTTTCTTGAAAAAAATTAAATAGTACCAAAGTGTTCTTTAAAAATTAAACAACTCCTGCTTTGTCAACAGCCAAATTATTAAGCTGATTCAAAGCACCTACTCTGTGCTTATTATGCATGTTTTCTACAAACTTCCAGCTGCATTTCTTTTTTTTTAATTTTAATTCTTTTTAAAAATTTTATACACTTGGTGGCGCGATTCTTCCTCTCGATTACACTAGTTCCTTTTTTAAATATATATATATATTATTTATTTATTATGTATAAAATGTTCTATCTGCATATACACTTGTATGCCAGAAGAAGACACTGGATCTTATTATAGATGGTTGTGAGCCACCATGTGGTTGCTGGGAATTGAACTCAGGACCTCTGAAAGAGCAGCCAGTGCTCTTAACCTCTGAGCCATCTCTCCAGCCCCCACTAGTTCCTTTTTATCCCTGAAATAATTCTCTCCTTGCACATCCCTCTGTATTTCTGATGTAGTAGGTGTCTTTTTCTTGTCTTTCTGGCTGAGGCATAACCGCTGAAAGAGCCAGGATTCACCTTTGCTTATCAGTGTTTCCTCCCAGTAGGGACAGCACATAGTAGGTGCTTACTAAATGAATGTAGAAACCACCCCTTGAATTCATTCAGGACTAGAGTGTAGAAGCAGTGACCCGAGGCAGCTGGAGCTGCTCAGCACCCAACCTCAGGGCCTTCTGTGTCTCCTTACAGACTTATCGGTAAGATGCAGTTCCTTATTTGATTATAATCTTCCATTTGGTGGCTAGGGAGGATTTACATAATTCTGATATTTACGTGATTTTTTTAGATGAGGAATATGTCTAAAGATCTAAGTGATTCACAAATCGTATAGGTTTAATACAAGCTTACAGGAAAATGCTGAGATGATAAATCGTAATAACTCAGAGAAAATGGAAGGGGACATCCAAGACTGAAAGTCAGCAGTTGCAATGGCAAGCTGGTTCAGCCTTGTGACGTCTACCTTTCCATTCCACTGTTGAGACATCATTTCAGCTGACGCAGTCTCTTTCTTTGTTAGAGCACACATTTCCTGCAAATAGGGATGGCATCTTTGAATGGTTTCTGGCCTCCACTCATCGACGGTGCTCATTTTATGAGTTCAGTGTTGGTTTATCTTATGTTAGAGAAGAGCTCTGTGAACAAACATGGCAGGGGTAAGGGCTATGAGATGTGATAGCTGTCAAAGTACGATCTTGTCAAACAGGTCCTTTCTTATGGTTCTATAAGCATTTCTGCCCACAGAATCTACTTTGCTTTTTTGGCTCTTCCCCTTGGTTTGTCAAGTGCTCGTTAAAGAACAATGAAATCAATGTAATCTATTTGTAGCAAAGTTTTCTATCTTTCCTCTTTAGACACAAGTATAGAAGGCAGAAGGTGAAACATGTAGGAGTGAAGGCCTGGGTCAAAAGTTAAGAGCACTGCTGCTCTCCTAGTTCAAATCCCAGCACCTGTGAGAGACAGCTCACAACTGCCTAAACTCCAGTTCCAAGGCGATCTGATATCTCTGGCCTCCTGGGCACCTGCAGGCTCAAACACACACATATATATATTTAAAAATAAAATAAATTTGTTTTTTTTAAGTAGAGATAGTATAAACTGCCTACAAAGTATTTGTAGGTAGTTTATGAAGATAAAGTGTTTTCCCAGAAAATCTGGAAAAAAAAAAAAAGATATCCCCACCTCTATTTGTCTCTTGTGTTATGGTTTGTCTAGTTCCAGATGAGCAACAGGTGCTAAAGACAATTTTAGAATGGATAGACGAAAGAAAAAACAAAAACAAAAACAAAAAACATCGTCAGAGAGGTGCACCAAATTTGATGAGATGAACAGCATACTTGTAACACAGAGGTTAGCAAGAAAATTCACGACTAGGAAAAAGAAACTGTCATCTCTTAATGACACAGCAAGTCCACAAACAGCACCACGAACACACATTATTAATAAATGGTGCTGGGAAAGGTGGCGTATTTGGAGTATTGAAACTTGACTCTGATTTCTCACCCTGGAGATGAACCAATTCCAAATTGACTGTCCTGGTTGGCTTTCTTTTGCTGTGATGACCAACTGTTACCCAGGGAAAAAGGGCTTATTACATCTTACAGGTTATAGTCTACCATCAAGACAAGCCTGGGAAGGAACTCGAGCAGGAATCTCAGGCAGGAACTGAAGCAGAGACCATGGAAGAGAGCAGCTTGCACCTTTCTTACACAGCCCAGGGGCGACCTGTCCAGGGATGGCTCTGCCCACACAAGACTGAGCCCGCTAACAATCCCAAACCATCAGCAGTCAAGATAAAGCTTCGGAGACATGACCACAAGCCATTCTGATGGGGGCAATTCCTCAATTGAGAGTCCCCCTCCTAGCTATGTCTATGCTTATGTCAAGTGAATGGACAAAGAAAATATCTTTATCTAATACAATGGAATGGTACTCAGCCACAAAGAATAAAAACCTGCTATTCAAATCCAAACTAGAAAGAACTAGTAAACACTGTTATATGAAATGAGCCAGATATAGAAACACTGCATCTTCACTTTCATTTGTATAAATAATTACAAAAAAAAAAAAATCCAAAACCCAAAACAGTTGCCCTAACTGTAAAATAGTCATTATTTGAAGTCAGGAAGCAGTGGGATTGGGTAAAAGATGGGTGTTATTAGTGTACACTATAGGCCTGAAATACCACACTAAGCATCATTATTATATAAACCATTACACATTCACATAAAACAAAATAATAGTACATGTACCCTAACACTTGGTACACATAATAATGGTCTTGTGATAACTGTAGGCTTTTGAGTCTTAAAGGAAAGTTGCTGAACCATTTGCAGACAAGAGTCTCCATGGTGAATGAAGGACCCAAAAAGGCAGGATGAAAGGAAAGTCAGGGCCACAGGAGAAGCCACAGAGAATGGTGGATGGTCTCAGTCTGTCTAATTCCTGGGCGGTTTGTCCTCAGTAGCTTGGGCCTGCTCTTGAAGTGTGTGTGTACATAAAAGGCTGTGTGAGTTAAATGAAAGAAACACCCAGGTTTGTTTCCACCTAAGATTGCCAAGCTGCTTCACAACTCTACAGGGCCCATTTTAGCTTCTTTTTTTTCAGAGAGAACCTCTAATTTTCCATAGAGAAAACAGTCTTTTGTGCATCAGCAGGATTTAAGCCTTGTTTTGAGTTGGCCCCACAGAAACTGCAAAGTAGACAGAAGAAATACCCAACAGAGTTCCATACTGGCCCTTCGAGTTGGCAGCTAAGAACTGAGGGTGTGACATCACGCAACAGAAAGTCAGATTGTGATCACCGACTCCTGTGTTAGTCGTTGGGACTTCCCTTCTTCCTCCATGGAGTCTCCAAAGAGAGTTGAGTTTAGAAATAAAGAAACCCAGCATCCCGAAATATCATTTGGAAGCCTGGGATGAGTCATGCCTAATTGACTCATGCCTAATGAGTCATACAAAGTTTCATTTCCTTGATCCAGGAAAGATTCACTTGTGAAGAGTGGTTGCTTGGGGTCTGTGCCTTGTAGTATATCTATCCGGCACTATATGACTAAAATCCACTTATAAGTAAATACAGATGTGTGTCTTTCTGGATCTGTGTTACCCCATTCAGGATGGTCTTTTCTAGTTCCATCCATTTGCTGGCAAATGTCATGGTTGTCTTGTTTTTAATGGCTGAGTAGTATTCCACTGTGTAAATGTACCACAGTGTTTGCACCCATTCTTTGGTTGAGGGACACCTAGGTTGTTTCCATGCACAGACCCCAAGAATAAGAGTCTGACGGACATCTTGGGCTTCATATGGGCCCGCTAGTTAAGGGAGTG